CCCTACGGCCCCTTCTCGGTCGGAGCCTGTGTGCCGGGGCCCCCCGCCGGCCACGGCGCTCCCCGCCGCCCCCCAGGAGGACATGAAGTGTCTTCTGCGGACATGCGGTCTGAAGCAGACTGTTTACAGGCAGCATTTTTAAGACCACATGCAGCCCACCGTGTGGGTTTTGCTTCGAAAATAATTCATTCCCATTTGGGAGCTACAGGATGCCATGTCCGTTGTTAATGCTTTGTCTTTGGCAGGCCCCGAACCAGCAAATTTCTTTCGAGCCCCAAGTCTTTATTATATCATTATATATTATTAACATTATTATCGTAACGCAAATAGTGATGCTACAACTAATAAAATTAACAGTAGCTAATAAATATAGAGCTTTTATTATGTGCTCTGCGAGAACTCGTTCCTCTCATCCTAACGTGGCGTGTACCCATCCGATGGACATAAGGTGAGAAATTCGAGGCTCTGCTGTTAAGATGCTCTGGTCCCACAAGCTAGGAAGTGGAAGCCACCGAGTCCAAACCCCGACAGTCCAGCTCAGGAGCCTAAGACCTTAGTGACCCAAAAGAAAAGGTAAGTCCTTGCGACAAACTCCGACTTGGAAGCTACGCGCGGTGGGGATGCAGACGTGGGCTCCTCAAGAGGCCAGATGCTTGAGTCTGGGGCACCTCACTTGCCAAGAACGCCTCCCAAGGCCCTGGGCGCCCCAGCCATGTGAGCGCCCGGTTCTGGTTTTGTAAATTTTGCAAAATAGCGTATCGTGATCACCACCAGTTATGTTTACTGTTTCTTTCGACTCTTCGCCTGATAGTGAGTGGCTTTGAGGTGCCCCGGACGTTTTACAGAACGAGCCAAGGCAAGCGACGTTGGGGAGACACTGTGTTTCGGGTTAATGCGCACAGTGCCGGGACTGGGGTGAGGTCAGGGAGGCAGCAAGGCAGCAAAATTTAAGGGGGCCAACTTTGCACCGGCCTGCGCCTGACGCGGGGGACCCCTTGAAGTTCCGAGCCTCAGGCACCTGACTCGCTTCTCCCCGGCCCTGACGGGGTCTGTTTACCTGCTTTCCAGGCCTTGTGCGGTCATGTTCTTGCTAGTCACCTAGGTGTGGGAATGGCCACGCGTGACACGCCTACTGCCCTCTGTGCAGTCACGCTGGTGTCCCCCTGAGCTGCCCTGTGTCCCCCAGCACAGGATGGGTTCCACTAGCTAAGGAGTGACGATGTTTGGGATGGATGGAGCCATCAGCTCGTCTGGCAATTCTTCCTGTCACGAGCCGCATGGCATTGTTCGCGTGGTTCTGGCTGTCTCGACCACACCCGGTCAGAACGAAGTTCCCTCCTGTCAGGAACATGCTCTGCGCAGCGCGTACGATCATCAAGGCACCACGCATTTTTTGGAGGAAACCACGTGAAACTGAATCGATGTGGACTCCTATGCCTGGGGGGACACAAACCTGTAGCAGTGTCACCCACGGCAAGTTTACCTGCGCGTGAAGCGCATGTTCATTCTCCTCTGGAAAGCGTGATTTCAAAATTACAACATTGAAGAAGTGGTCAGAGGCACGCAGGTGAGGGGGGGCGGTCCGAGGAGGTGTTTGCGGGGCCACGAAATTTGCCGCCAGGGTAGCTCTTGAGTGATCTCGCCGCTATGTGAGGGGCGGACGTGCGAGTCAGTGTTTCACACTGTGGACGGACCGGACCAGCAAGTGTGCACCGGAAATACACACGACTTTTCATTGTCGACTACACCTCGGTCAAGTTGGGGGCGGGGGGAAGGGCATCGGCTAAAAAACGTAGGAAAAAATGGTATATCGGGGTGCGTCAGGCAGTCTCGTTAAACGTTTTCTTGTGGATTTTTTGAAGTTTATGGTGTTTCTATAAATTTTCTAGCTCGTGATATAGTTCTCATTTTTAATCAGTATTTATTTTGGTACCTAATTTTCTGTTCTTAACTTTTTATTCTTCCTCTTAATGAAGGCCCCCAAGTTTGAGAAGCTTCAGGCCCTCGAACATCTGGCTCTACGCCTCCATCTGGCCGTGCGTTAGCTTTGTATTCTGCAGCCCCTGTCTCTTGCTTCACCCTCTTTTAAAACCTGTGCCTTTTATATCGAATATTGTCCCATCCCCACTCATATTGGCCCATCTTTCTAGCTTCAAGTAGCTCAGCTCCCTGCAGCCTCATCTAAAATACCCGGAGCTGATTTCCCTGTTTATAACAGTCCTGCGCAGGCCGTGCCGGAAAGCAGACCCCGCACTGTGTGCTAACTCAAGTCCAGAGCCGAGGTGGCGGGTGAAGCTGCACTGTGGCCGCTGCTGGCGCAGGAAACAGGTGCGTGCAAGGCAGCCCCCTCGCTCTGTTTATTGTCCCCTTGGAAACGCCTTGTTCGGGCCTTCCCAGCTGTCGCAGCTCCGCAGCCTCCCGGTGACAAAGGTGTCTCCGTCGCTTGGAGCTGCCTTCCGGGTTGGCCCCCAGCTGCTCTGACCCTTCTGACAGAAAAGCTCCCCGCCCCCCGCCAGAGCTTTGCGGGAGCTGCTTCCATTTCCCTCCCCTGAACACACATTACGGACACTCGGCTGCCCCGCAGGCGATGACACTCTTTAGAGACCCCTCTTAGCGACCGCAGAAACCTGGCCGCCTCTGATTTTCAGCCTCCTGAAGAACTGGCCATGTAATCCTTTCCCGACAATGTAATCGCCCTGGCCAGAAATTCTGAAGGGGCAGGACTGTCCTGCTCCCTCCCAGGAACTGCGACCATCTCGTTCCTACCTCTCCCCCGCTGAGGGCAAAGCAGCACCCACAATCCCACGAGGGGGAAGAGGAAAACAGAATCGCCCACTGCTGGGGTCGAGTGTCAGCGTGATACCTCGAGTGGCTGTGTGTGCACTGCGAGGCCTCGCAGACCCACCCGAGTCCATCTTTGAGAAGAAATCGTGTGACAGGGGCCCGTTTTCCCCGTCGTACGCATCCGAGGATACTGTATTAGAGGGTGACCA